AAACAAGATTTCTAGGGGGGGGGGTTCCCCTCCCCCCCAATGCTTCTGGGGAAGGCAATGGAATAACAGCCGCCTCTGCCTTTAGGATGCTGTGATAAGCCCCGGGGCTGGGTTTTTGGAGCGGATGTGAACAAGCCCACTTAAGAGGGACAAGGGTGCCTGACAGTCCAGCGAAGCTGCTGAGCACGTGATTAAAGCTAAGCACATGCTGAAGTGCCTTCCTTAGCAGGCGTGGGCTTTGCAATTGAAAAGAGCTATGGGGACGGACGTGCTCCTAGCTCGGGGATCTCCTATTTTTGCGAGAGGCAAGGATTTCTTAGGGCGACCTCTTTTATCAAACCAACTGCTCATTGGCATAGAGTTAGACAAGCTTTTGAATGCAAGGCATTCTTCACCACGCCGAGCGCGAGGTGCTGTATGCTGGCATCTGTAAAAGCAGAGGCTGGGCTGTATTCGGTACACCTTCTCCCCACCCTTCTAGCTTCGTTGCATCGTGTTATACCCAAGAAGGCTGCTTTTGGGACCACCCCCATCCTGCAAGAAGACTCCAGGCTGGGAGGGTTGTGGCGAGAGGGTTTGAGAGATAGGATCTGGTTCTGACCCAGAGCCCACGGGGCTTTGGAGTAGGCTGGTTGTGGTCCTCAGCAGAGCAAAAGCAGAGAGGTTAGAGACTGGGAAAGGACCTGAAATTCTCCTTTTTTAGAAGAGAAGTGGCATCCTATAGGGTTTCCTATGTGATAATGGCTCAACCCCCCTCTGGCTTTGCTGGGACAGGGCTGGGCTGGGACAGGTGCAAAGAGGAGCGAGAGGAGGGGAGAACAGCGGGGCAGGGAACAGCCTCGCATCTGCCTTGGGACAATCCCCAGCCTCCTCGCAGGCCCGCAGAAGACTCTGAGGCCTGAACAAAACTCCAGCAGGCTCAACACAGCCTCAGCCACCCAATGCCAAGAAGCCTTGAACAAAGCCCTACAAAAACCCACCGGACTTAAGAACATGCCTAAATGAATTTGGGTCTTAACTAAGGGCAGGTGTGAATCCTATAGAGGAACATGCTTAAGATTAAGCACGTGCTTAAGTGCCTTCCAGTTTTCCTGGACTAGGGGAGAGGCAAATTTGCTCTGGACTTAGCAGAGATGCAGGGATCAAAGACTCGGGCACAGTTTTAACCACATCTATGGCCTTACGGACCCACAGACTGGTTGCAGCACAGGGTCTTTAACTGACAGCAGGGGGGATTTGTGATTCTTAGTGGGTTTTTCTTTTCTTTTTTTTTCCCCCTTGTCTTCTGGCTTTTAAATCTTTTGTCTTTCAATCCATACACTTTTGTGTGGTCATGCTGGATCTCTGGGAAGGGCTATTTGCACTGTAACTATCAACTTTTACATACACGCACGCACACACAGGAAAGAAAAAGAAACATATATTAAAAACACTTTTTAAGCAATACTCTGGATACAAATGTATTTTTTTAACCTACATATATTCTAAACTTCTAAACTTTTAAGGATCACTTTATCATAAAATAAAATATCCTTTTTTTTTTCTTATAATAAATTACCTAATAAAAAGTATTTTTATTAGCCCAGTTCCTTGCTACATTTACATGTAATAAATGCATTTATTAAAATAGAATATTAAATTATAAAGAAATGTTCTAATTTTTTTTTAAATCTTAATTTTTTTTCCTCCTCTCTCTCTCTCTCTCTGTCTCTCTCCTTCTTTTTCTTTTTTTTAAAAAAAAAATCTGTAACCTCGCCAAAGTAAAAATAACTCATATGCCAAATAAACAAGTTGGATATTTTTGATTTAAGAGGTTCTTTGTGTTAACAGTCGTAGCCTTTGCATGTAAGGAGAAGTATTTTATTTATTTTCTTTAAAAAAAAGAAAGAAAGAAAGAAAAGAGAAAAAAAATAATAGATATCCCTCCAGCTGAAAAATACTTTTTTTTTTTTTGCAAGTGGGAGCTAGGACAAGATATTCTTATAGTATCTCCTCATTTAAATATAAATCCAATTTTGGTTCTTTTTTTTTCTTTTCTCTTATGCATTATAATACATACTATTCTCTATATAATTTATGATGATGGGATGACATCACAGTAAGATATTTCATATTCATCCCTTCCCCCTTGTTATATTTAGCATTTCCCGCCCCTCCCCGCCCCGCGCAGCCCACTCCCCCACCCAGACACCTCTAAAACAATGGCCAAAGACATAGCATATTGGTACGCGGGAAGTACGGATGCTATTAATTAACCCCTGACGGGATCTCCTCTGGATGGCCTGTCCGGCCTCCCCTCCTCCTCTCTCCGCTCCTCACAGTGGAAGAGGTGATCTGACCCCCAAAGTGCCATATATAAAGCCAACAAGACTTCCCTGCTCCTAGACCGAATTCAAGATGGCTCAGATATGGGCGGTCTCAGATCCTGGCATCTGCAGGCAACCAGGGTCTTTAGGGGTGCCTGCCACCCTGGCATCTGAGCCCTGTCACCGGCGAGCTCCATCACCTCGCAGGCTTGGCCTGGAGCCCATCGGAGAGGCTCCCCCCTGCTATCTGGCCAAGTGCAGAAGCACGTGCTTAAAGTTAAGCCGGTGCCCAAGTGTTGGACAGGATCAGGGGGCCAGCATCACGCCCCGCTTCGGGTTATATATGGCCACAGCAAATCGCAACAGGATTCTCATGCCACTGGCCCCGTCGTTCCCGGGAGCCCGGATGCTGCCTAAAGTCGGGCACCCCCAGCCCATCCATGCCAAGCCATGCGCGGCCACCTCCCACACCGAGAAGCTTCGTGCACATCCACAGGGCGACTCGTGCAAGGGAAGCGACACGTTGGTGAAAGGGCTTGCACGTTCTGGGCTTGGGGGACATGAGGATGGGGCGGGGAGGGAACAACAGTTTGCCAGGCTCTGTTTCAATACAACACTCCCCTCCATACTGCTTTTAGGGGGAGTGACAGGAGGGCACCCCAAATGGTGCCCCCCCAGAGCCCCAAGCCATGTCCCCTCCCCTGCCAGTGGTCAGACGGGGGCAGAAGGACTGTCTAGACTAGAGACGATTGCACTGGGGTAGCTAGTGCAAGGTGGGCACCCCTCCCTCCCTCCATGCACATGGATCCCTGTGCGAGTCGCACGAGGGAGCAGCGCACATCTGCACAAAAGGGAACCAGGACGGACCGGTGACGCCGCAGAGGAGAAGAGGGTCTGGGGGAGGGCGGAGTGGGGTGGGTCTTTCTTTAGTTCGCCTTATTGCTGGTGATTTGGACCAACAAGCCATTTTGAGTTGCCTATTAAGGAAGATACAAGTCAGAGCAAATAGTTAAGGTCGTGGGCATTTTTTGTGGTTTTTTTGATTTTTTTTTAAGCTTTTTGTAGATATTTACATATGTGGAGAAAGAAAAACGAGTGCGGCAAGCCAGGGGGGCTGCTAGAAGGCAGGGACAGAGACCTCCCCACAAAGTCTGGACCCCCCTCCCCTCTACTGGACAGCAAGTGGGGGTCCAGCGGGGAACTGCCTCCCCCTGTCTCCATGAGTGCAGCCCCTCCTCAACCCAGAGGTAGCTCTTGGTGACTTTACCGTGGCCGCTTTTCTTTCTTCCAAAGTTGCTACGTCAAAATACAAAGGGGGGTAGGAGGGGGCAGGGAGGGAGCAGTAATAAAAACGGGGGCGGGGGGGGAGGAATACTGCTATTCAGTTTAAACTAGAACTGCTACATCAAGCTTTCTCGTAACATATGTATATATGTATATATATATAGTCATATATATTCATATATATATAGGGTATTGGAACGAAAGGTTTAATTAAAAGCCAGCTTGCAGAGCAGGCTGGACGGCTGGCTGCAGGCGCAGACAGATTTATGTGTGTGTGTGTGTGTATATATATATATATATATATATATTTATCTTAGAAAGGTTTTCCCGACCATTCTTGGCATGCAGGAGGCTTTTACGTTGCTTTATCCCGGGAAAGGGGAGATGGAAAGGGGAGCGACGCTAGCGCCCCTTCTGTAACCCTCCCTCCCCTCCCTTCCTAGGGTCAGTGCTAGAATATACCCCGACCCACCCCGATTTACCCCATCCGGGTGGTCGTTCCCCACCCCCGCCCCCTCCCCTGCCCCAACCTGGCATCCCAGAAAAACATGGATCAAAAACGCGCTCACGTTACCACGGACAGACTTCACTTTGCCAGCGACTACGAGCCACGCTACTCACAGATCAGCCCCGCGGGACTTGGGCCAGGCGCCATCCCGGCCCGACCCTGTCCGCGGCCAACACAGACATATCTGAACGCCCCTATGGAGGGGTGGTCTCGACCCTACCAGCCTTCCCCCCACCCGCACTCTTGACATCAAGGGGACAATTCTGCACAGAGATGGAAAGTTCAAACCCAACCCTCGAGGAACCAAGAAAAAACAAAGGAAAACGGCTTTCTTCCCCCTCCTTTCTCGTCTTTCCTTCCCCACCCCTCCCAGACGTGAAACCAACCTCGACGTCAAGCAATAACTGGACCTGTGTTAGACAGGACACGGGCAGACAGGCCCAGACCTTGAAGCTGTGGATCTCACGGCTGTGCGTGGGGAGATGGGCTTGTCCCCCAAGCGTATGAATGGGATGGAGCCTGTGGAGGCGGATGTGAGAGCCAGCTCCTGCCCCTACGGGCATCCGCAGCCCCGTTTCTCCATCACCGGTGTGGTGCCCGCCAGGCCTAAAAGGTGACGGCTGTTGTTTGGCAGCAGTGTTTTCACCAGTGGGGTGATGGAGAAGGAGGCTGCCTCCCATCCACTAAAGCTGGGGTTGGCACAACCTTTCCATCCACATCCACCCAGACAATATACTCCCTCCACCCACCCTCTCCAAAGCTAACCCAGCGCCTTGTGCCCGCTCTCCAGAGAAGGCTCTTGAACAGTGCCGGGATTTCGACTGCGGGCGCCTCCCGAATAGATGGCAGGGCCCAGACCGCCGTCGGGAGGAAGACAGGCTCTTCCTGGAGAACACGTCGTGACGAAACCCACCATCTCCTGGAACTTGAGGGGCAAAAAACACTCATCTCGGGCTACTCCTGTCGTGGCGGTGGAACCGTCTCCGTCCCGAGTCACAAAGCTTTTTTGGTTGGCGGTTCCAGGTGAGGGTCCGGAGCTGTGAGTAGAAGCTGGTGGGGGAGAGGGAAGGAGGGGACCGAGCGAAGAACAGGTGTGGGAGCGCGTGTGAGTGCACACGCACGCCTGCCGAGGTGCTGGGGAGTGACGTGCCTCGCCCTAGAGGTACTTGGGTGGGTTAATCGAACACGCGTAACTTTGCCGCCGTGCCCCTTTGGCATCCGAGGTTGATCAAACCTGCCTAGGTTAAGACGCTGGCTGATGCCTGCAACCAAAGCCAGCTTTGAAGCCCATCTCCCCAACATCCCAGTGGCTCAAAAAGTATCTGATTGAACAAAACCAGGAGTCTTGACATGATTCAACAAGGCAATTCAGATTCTTTTTTTTTGTGTTTTGTTTTGTTCTGGAAAAAATATAATATATAAAAGCGGCAACCTCTGGAGATCCGGGTTAAGGAAATTGAAGAGGTTTTTGGTCCATAAAGAAATACTTTCTTCTTCTTCTTTTTTTATTATTTTCCCTACTTGGTTTTGGGTAACAAAAGTTTTGGTCCAGTTTAAAAACGACAAGAAAATTATATCTATAAACTTGGTTTCTTTATTATTATTATTTTTTTTTGCTGTCTGTCAGGATGTGTGTTGGCTTGCTGAGGGCGCATGGCCGGTATTGCATGATCGTCTTTCTTAGGTTTTGGTGCGAAATATATATCTCTATATTTTTAAGAACAGAAAAGCACAGCCTCACGTGTGTGTGTGTGTGCGGCTGCAGCTGGCATTGCTTGGAGAGTGAAGTATGGAAACGTGGAAGTCAGTATATTCCCCCCTTGGATGGGAGCACGCAACTGCTTTTGAAATACCCTGTTAGCGACTCCTGATTCGGGTGATGAAGACATCCCTGCTTGGAGAAGGAAAAAAAAGTAACCTAGTTCCAAACTCTGCGTTGGCTCAGAATACGAATATATACTCACGGCACCCAGTGCGACTCCAATAAGTTCTTCAGTTTCACCGGCGTCATCGTTTTCATTCATTTCTCTATTTTTTTTTTTCTGATTTTCTTCTTCTTTTTTTTTTTTAGGAAAAAAAAACAGAAAATAATAAAAGTTCTTTAGCTGCTGTGTCATTTTTTGTTTAAATCTTTGAGGTAATACAGTTGTGCCCTCACTCTAACAGGTTCCCAGAGGTTGATGGTTTTGCCTTTTCATTCATTCCCCATCATCCTTTTTCTTTTCCTTTTCTTTCCACTTTGATTCTTCCACTGAGTTTTCATACGCTCGTCGGGTTCATATCCCCAGGGGTGGGGAGGGAGTGAGGGAGCCGGGGGCAGCTTCAGACCAAGCTGACATCAAGCATGACCCCCCACCCCCAGCTCGGTGGATGGAAAAGCCGAGAGTCCCACCTCACTGCCAAAACCAAAAGAAAACAACCCAAATTGGAACAAAACCACGTTTTTCTTTTGTTGGTTTTTTTTTTTCCATCTGTGCGTTCAGAGTCCTGGTTTCTCGCAGGCCGGGACATCATCTGCCCCTTGGAAATTTCTGGCTTTTCTATTCATTTTCATTTTATTCTTCTTCTTCTTAATAATAATCACCTTTTTCTTTATTAATTTTTTTTTTGTAAAAATAACCTACATTGCTCGTAAAATAATTTCTTTTTCTTTCTTGTTCCTCTTTAAATTAATTTTTTTTTTTACTCTCTCCTTTTGTTCGGTCTTCAGATGTCACTTGTATTACTGGACCACCTTCTTCCTCCTCCTCTTTTATTTAGTTATTTATTTATTTCTTTTGGAAGCCCCGCCCACCCCTTTTTTGCCCCGCCCCATGCCCCGTCCTGTCTCTTTAAGAAAATATTCTAATGGCCTGAGTGGCTGGGGCGTGGCAAACGGGGCACTCGGGGTCGGTCCGCTCACAGATCCGCACGGCGCACTCCATGCAGAAGAGGTTGTGGCCGCAGGGCACAAGGGCGGCCGTGACTTCACTTTCGAAGCACACCATGCACTCCCGGCTGCTGGAGACGGGCGTCCGGGCTGGTGCCCAGCTTGGAGAAGCCTTGCAAGGGTTCCCCTTGCGACCTCCTGGGCAGGCTGGAGAGGTTGGGCTCCTGGATGGACGAGGATGGGGAGCGGTGGGAGTTGGGATGGATGGCCCCGGTGCTCCCCGACCGCTGCTGCTTGGAGAAGAGCACGGACACGGGGTTGGTGTTCTCCTGCCCGGCCCACATCGGGGTGCTGGAATCCGGCACCCCGTAATACAGATCTTGCTTGCTCACTCCGTAGTTGGGGAAGAGGTAACCGTAATTGAAGTCGTTTTGGTCGTTGAGCCGCGGCGTCTCGTAGATGGGGTCCACGGAGCAGTCACCGATGCAGCCCAGGCTGTTTTGGCGGAAGGTGGAGAGCGGCTTGCAGCCCGGGGCAGGCGTGTGGACCCGCCATGCCTCCGAGTAGCGGTTCTCCATGCCCGAGTCGGGGCTGCTGGACAGGAAGTCGTTCTCGTTGTTGTACTCCAAGATCTTGCCCGTCCTCACGGCGATGTGGGTCTCGATCTCCTCCCGGGCCCGCTCCACGTTGCCCGGCGCCCCCGTGATCTCGAACACGGGGTCCCGGTCCCGGCTGGGTGTGATGATGTAGGTGTTGGTTTGCTGCTGGATTCGCTTGATGGTGGCACCTTTGGGGCCGACCACTAGGCCCACCACACGGTACGGCACGCGTACCCGGATGGTGACCTGGCCTGGCAGGGTCGGGGCACTGCCGAAGGTGGTGCCGGCCTTGTTGCGAGACGCCCGGATCATGGAGAAGTGCTCGGCGGCCGAGATGATCTCCCGCCTGGCCATGGCGACGTCCTCCCGCCGCCCCGTCACCATGAAGACCGGCTCCTCGCCGCGCACTGGGGTCTTGATGTACGTGTTGGTCTTGGCCCTCAGCGCCTTGATCTTGCAGCCTTTGGGGAGAGGCGGAGGAAGGAAACAAAGGGGAGATGTTAGAGCACAGGCCTTCCTCCCTTCCCCGCCCACGGGGAGCAGTTCCCCTCAACCCCTACCCTAGGGCCCAGGCTTGCCCAAAAGCTAACTCCCATCAAGGTCCAAGCAAGGCTCCAACCCTGCCAGGGGCTGAGTACCCCTGTCCTGCACCCTAACCCTGCCAAAGGCTAGTTCATGTCTCTCCTGGAGGGATTATTCCCCTATTCAGGAGGGGAGAAAAATGGGAAGCTGTCCACTGCACCGGCTGGCCATTACTGTGGTGATGATGAGGGGCAGCGGTGTCAGGTCCCTGGGGTGGGGTGAGCTGAGCTGAGCAGGTCTTAGCCCAGTTCCCAGTGTGGAGACCAGAGGAGCTGAGAACTGAGGTGGTGAAGGAAAGGTGCATTTCCAGCCTACAGCCCATCATCCCTGTCTTCATACCATCACTAAGGAAGGAGTAACCCAGGTCTGCAGTTTAGGCCACAAGCGTCCCTGGTCAAGCAGATCCCAAGCTGCTTCCCCCCAACCAGAAGCCCCTTTCTTCCCCCAGCTGCCCCCCAGGTAGCCAGCAGCTGCGCCCCCATCCCAGCCCTAGGAGCAGCAGCTGCATTGAAGCCCCCTGCCCAGCTTTGCAGTGGAATCAATGGAGCAGCAAATCCCATCGCCCCTATCCCCCCCCAGCGGCGAAGATGCGCACACAGCGGGGCTGGTGACATGCGAGCCCTGTCCCAGCTGCCTGGGTCTCGGGGAAGGACTATGTCCAATCTGCAGCATCTGCTCCCAGGGATGGGATTTTGCCCTTGATGCTGAATTTCGTGCCAAGCGGCTTGTCCGGGCAGCTGCTGGTACAGCAGGGGCCTGGCTTGTCCCAGCCCATAGCCAGTGTGCCTCGAAAGAGAGCCAGAAAGACCCCAGCTTGGACTCCAGCGCCTGGGTCCCCCCACTGCCATGTGCCACGGACATGAACCAAGAGCTTTGGGTCAATGACTGAGGATAGATGTCCTGGTCCCAATCAGCCTGGGTAGCACTGGATGTTGAATCCTCAAGGGAAAAGGCTCCTGGACCCATTCACTCCCTCTTCAGCTCTGCAGCCTGGGGTGGGGAGGGGGGTCTGCAGAGACCCTTAGCTGCCCTGCCACCTTTCCCCAGCCCTCCAAAGCTGGACCCTGACATGAACCCCCTCAAGGAGAGCTGATGGGGGGGAAGAAAGGATGCTGTTGAGAGGCAGAGGCTGGGGTGGTAGGTGGGCACCCAGGGTCTGAGTCTTGCTTCTGCCTCAGACTAGCTCTGGACAAGCTGCTCTGGCTGAATCTTTCCAAAGTGCCTGAGTGATTTAGGAGCTGGACCCCTCATTCAGAATGGGCCAGAGGGGTTTGGAGAAGGGGACTTGGGGACAGGTGTTGCAGTGTAGGTGGACAGGTTCACAGTGCTTGCCGGGCCTCTTGGCAGCAGTTCCAAAAGCGCAGTGCGTCAGCGCCTAAGTCACTTTGGCTTTTTGGAAACTGATCATCTGCCCAGGGCTTCCCTGAGAGGCCCTGAGGTGCATTCAGAAAAACCTTTCCCACCACGCTGAGGGGTCCCAGCTGTTACTCACCCCAGCCCCTAATGACCCAGCTGCTGACCCTGGCCACCAACCCAGCTGGGGTGCCTCAGGCCGGCTGCCTGCTGATTGGGGGGGCCCTATTTAAAGCCCACCTGGGGACAATGCTCCTTCCAGCGGCCTGGTGGGAGGGGGGGAAGCTCGCCGGCTCCTGCAGTTGCTGCATCTGGTGTCCTGAGCTGATTTGCTGCAGTCTGCTACGTCCCTGCTCAGCTCCAAGGAGGTGGGTGCATGCAGTACAGGAACCACGGGCCTGGGGGACTGTCGGAGCTGGGGGAGCTCTGCAGTTGCAGATGCCTCTCGTGCCTGTGTCGTGTACCAGGAGGGAGGCTTTGGAGGTTGAGAATGAATCTCGAGCTTGCAATGTTCTGGAGGGGTGGGGGTTGTTTCATGCCCCTTTGTGCTGGTGCGAATGGCTCCATGGGGGTGCAGGATCCAGCCTGGCTTGTGTCCCAGGGGGGCAGGGTCTGGCTCTTGAAGCAGTTAGTAGTGCCTAAGCTTGGGGCCTGTGCTTTTTTTCCCCCCACCATCCCTTTGGGCAGGGGGTTGGACCCAGTGATCTCACAAGGTCCCTTCCAGCCCTAATGTCTATGAATCCCCCCCTCACCCCCTTCCCTAGGGAAGAAGCCATTTCCTCACCTTGCCCCTCCCAGGGCTTTGCTCCCCTCCCTGTCTGCCCCACACAAAGGGCTCTTGGGCATTAGGCAGGACCTGCCAAATCCCAGCCTCTCTCTGGCTGGGAGCTGGTCCCAGCTCCATGCAGACCCTCCGTGGCGCTGGTCTCTTGGGGCGCATCCTGGCGCAACCACAAGTGTGCCGCTCCTGGGACCAAGCCCTGATCCCTTGGCACCCAGAGCCCTTGGGCTAGATCAAGCGCTCCAGGCACCTGCAGCTAGGCTGCTCCAATCCCTTAGCTGGTAAGGGAACCCCCAGTTCATGCTTGCAAGGCAAAGACCCCCTTTGGACCACTGGTTTCTTCCCAGTGCAACGGACGTGACCTCGGTGTTGCATGCGACTCAAAAGGCTGAGCTTCGCACCTACAACACTGGGCTTGGATTTGGGAAGCCCGAATCTAGCCCCTGCCTCTGCTGCAGCTGCTCTGGGCCTGGGGTCCTCTCTGCGGCTGGGCCGTGCCTCCTCGTCGGGGGCAGGAGCTTTCCCCAGTTCTGCCTTTTGTGCAGAGCCAACCACAACAATGCCGCACCATGCCAGCACTGCCCTCCCCCCTCCCGTCTGTGCCGCGAGGTGGGTTTCACGGGGCCTGGGATGCTCGCTCCAACCCGAGGAATGATAGAGGCGATTCCTGGAAAATCTAGGCCAGCTGGAAACCCCGCTGAGCCAAGCCAGCTTGCCACTGCCCCCTGCCGAGCCGTGCCCCGCAGTGGATGGGCTGCGCTTTGTCCAGCTGGCTTTTAAAATGGCTAATGCAAGCCAGGGAAGCTGGACAAGCATAACCCATGGGGGCTGATGGGGTGCAAGGTGCTGTACAAATCCCGAACCTCAGGGAAAAGCCCCTCCCTCGCACTTCTCATCAGCGCTGAGATGCCTCCATTTTCTCCACCACCACCCCCCGGGGGGTGATGGGCTCAGTGGCTGGTTGGAGAGCAAGGAAAGCTGCTTCGGGCATGAGCTTTCTGTGCTGGCGGGGGGTGGGAAAACCAGAGGAACGTCGGCCTCTAATGCTCCGTCATTCGGGTGAAATGGAGTCGGGTGCCAGGAACGCCGGGCCTGTGCGCAGGTCCGTGTTTGCTAGGGGTGGGCGGGCGCCACGTGTGTACACGTGGGTGTGGATAAGGTCTGGGTCCAGCCGGCTAGGAAACCATCCAGGAGGCGAAGGCAAGGGTCAGAGACAAAGGAAAGGGACAGGTGGCAGGAAGCTGAGGCTCGGAGGCCCCTGTCCCTCCAGGCTGGGTGGAAGGGGATTCTCATACATGCAGAGGGGAGGATAACGGGACCGGCAGAAGGGACCACGCGAGGGGGAGGGCTGCACTGGGGACAAAAGGAGGAAGGCGGTGTGGCCTGCAGACAGGGGAGCTGGCTTTGCCCAGACGGGAAGATGCGGGAACCTCTGCAAGACTCAAGAAAGGGACCCCTGCCCCCACCAGCTATTAACAAAGCAGCTTCCCCCTCCCTCCCCCATTCAGTGGCCTGTGGCCTTGGGGGCTGCAAACCAACCGTCCTAGCTCCCTGGATAACAACAGTCCAGATTCACAGCTGATGCGAGTGGGTACAACCACACCTGAGTCTTTCAAGGAAGCCCTGATCTACACCAGCTCCAGAACCTGCTGTGGCCGTTCGGACCAACAAAGGGGCCCCAATTCTGATCTTGCCCAATTTTGGGGGGGCAGCTTAAAGCAGGGTCAGGATGCAGCCCTGTGCATCCTAGCAGGGTTGGGATTTCTCTACCTCCCTTCCGTGTGCGTGTGTGTTTTTGGAGGCTTTTTCTTCTCTCTAACGAGTTGCTTTTTCTTAGCACGCTGTTGCACCAACAACAGTAGTGGGACCTGGGGTGCGTTTTGACAGCTTGGGAGAGGAAGGAATGGGGGAAGTGGAAGAAGGGAAATAAACAGGGGGAGGAAAGGAAAGAAGAAAAAAAGCAGTGACGACCAGCTCGACAGCATCTCTTAGGTGCCTGGAGTCACTGCAGAGCTCTGTCCCTCCAGACACAGGAGAGCAAGGGGGGCCACAGCTGGAAAGCAGAGGGGGTGACCCAGGCACGCCTGGGAGCTACTGACCCAGAGGATTATTGGAGGGCTAATGGATGGTGTTAATGGGCCAGGAAGTGGAGCAGGGGCCTTGCAGGAAGGATCTTAAGGTGATTGCAAGCTAATTGATCCCTGCCAGGCCCTGTGAGCAAGGTGTTTGTATTGTTCTTGTGGCTCTTGCAAACTCACAGAGGTAAGGTTACCACCACGAGGCTCTTCACCCACCCATCTCCAAGCACTCCGGCAGGAGGCTGAGATCCAATTAACTTGAGCTAACAGGGTTGCAAAGTCCCCTAGTAAAGCCATGAACACTTGCACACAGGACTAAACCTCTGTTACCCAGCAGTTAGTCCCAGGGAGGAGTCTGGTGTAGACATGCCCCCCTGCCATGGGGCTGGGCGGCTGAGAAAGGCCAGGTGTGGCTGCTAGGAGCCCAATCCTTTCCCTTTTTTACCCCTTATATATACCTGATCCAAACACCCACTGCAGCCAATGAACTGGGCTGCATCGGCACCTACCACAGCCCCTTAGGCCAGTGCGACGTAGGGATGCAATGACATGGAACAATCCCTTGCTGGCACTGGTGCCCACAGGGGTTCCAATCCTGTTCACACTGAAAGTCCCCTGGCCTGCAAGCAGACTTCAGATACTGGTGAACCCGCTGCAATGTGCACTGGTGTCGCAGGGCAGCAGAAGACCAGTCCTAATCACAAAGTAAGTCCACTGGGAGCAGAATCTGGCCCTTCTGGGTCCCTACTGGATACAGACACGTCCAGTTCCACCAGAGACCTTTAGGTGCAAAGTGGCACGACTCGGAGAACCGGAGAAAAGCAAGGCTGGAAGGGACCCTTCAGAGGTCACTGAGCCCAGCCCCCTGCCAGAGGCAGGATCACCCCTGTTCCAGCTGGGGCTCTTGCCCCCTGGCTCCAAACCCTGTGCCTCAAATCATCCCCCGGTCTTTTTAAAGCATCCAAACAGCCTCTGCAGACAAAAGACTTCAGAGCCTGGTTCTCATTCACCATCAAACAACGATCCACCGCTCCAGCGTGCGAGCGTGTCCCTGCATTAGGGCGCCTCGGCTCTCTGCCGTGATTCAGACCTTGCCCATCGCCCTCCTCCGCACCAGAGGCCCGTAAAATAACCCACCGCGAGGCCTGCGTGAAGGGCGTGACGGTGGCAGGTGCTTTCCGCCGTACCCCGGGCGCAGCGTGGAGCAAACGAACGGTGCGGGGGGCCGAGCTCGCGTCAAATCGCTAGTGGTGGCGGCGGTGGCGCCGTGTTTTTTAAACGCACGTGCGCCCAAAAAAACCCAGTGCAAGGCAACGGCCGCACGCCTCTGCAGAGGGGCCTCGTGCCAGTGATGCAACCTGCAGCTGTACAGACGCACACAGCCGCCGACTGAATGCCTTTTGCTCTTAAGCCCAGTTGGGGTAAAAGCCCCCCCCCCCCAAAAAAACCCCCTGCCAAGTCCTCCTGCCCCTTTATTTTTGCCCCCCCCCAAAGGTTTTCTCCAAGCCACAGCCCCGCAGACAACAGACCCCTTGTTACGTTGCTGGGAACTTGCATGAAGACACCGGTGCCGCTCCGGCATTGGGCCGACGCGCTCTGGTGCTGGGTGGGCGTGCCATGGCCTCTCTGCGGTGTGAGCCTGGGCTTGACTTTGTCATGGAGTGATTTTTTATTAATATTATTATTATTATTTTCATCTTTGAAGACCTTGCTAGGAGCTGGGCTGGGAGAAGTGGAGGGGGCTGGGGGGATGGATGGCTAGACAAAGACAGGAAGGGGGGAGGGGGAGCTCGAGGGCCAAAGACCAGCGTTACGCTGCTCTCCCACTGCCCTAGATTCTCGCCGGTCGCCGCAGCCGGGTTCGTGTGGTCGGCGGGTGCATCCAGCCACGGGCCAGCCGCAGCAGAGCATGTGTCCTCCCCTTTGTCTCCGCGAGATCCCGCTCTCCCTCCCTCTCAGGTGCAGGAGGGCAGAGGAGTCCAGGCTGGATTCCCTGCTCGGTGTGGCAATTGTTGCCCCCCTGGCAGCTATGGAAAGGCCCTTGCGGGGCTAAATTGGGGGCTGACCGGGAGCTGCGGCTTTCAATCTGCCTCCACATGGTGTGCGTGGAGGAGGGGAGGGATAAAGCACTCCAGCTTCCTCCATGGAAGGCTCCCTGAGATTTCTTTGTGAGTGCAAGCGTGCCCTGCACAAAGGGCTCTGTCGCCTGGGCTGCCAAGGGACGTGGCCTCTCGGGCAACCGGATGGACAGCGATGGCCAGACTATGTCAGGGATGCTCTCATGGGGGCGGCGCTGGATGGGTACTGCCACGGCTAATTGCACCCGTCTGCATGCCCAGTGGTGGCAACCCCAGCATAGCCCCTGCTGCTAATACAAGGGGTGCCAACCTGTGCCCCTTGGCCTGTGCAATTGGGAATCGTGCCCATTGCTCGTGCTGATCTCATGTGTCTCCATCCGGCTGAGGAGCCTTCCCCTTGAATCCTGATTGCCCAACGAAGTCCCTTGCCGGCTGCCTGGGCTCCCTGGCTGGCATTGTGCCCCCTTGAATTCTTGCCACCCCATCCCCCTCCCCTGTGCTGGCCCCTGCTAGGATGTTTTGCGTTTTAACTTTGCGAGCACGTGCAGCTCCGGGAAGCTGTCGGTAGGGGAGATGCCTGGACAAAGGGAGACGGAAAAGGTGGGATGTGAGGTAACTTGGAGCACCTGAGAACAGCCCAGGGGGCCCCAGAACAAGGTGGGGATCCCCTCCGTGCCCCCAGGCCCAGCACAGCTGCGTTACGCATGCTCTTTGTGCACCGAGCAGGAGAGTGGCTGCCCCTAGGAGACAGGCAGGGGGGTCCCCTGGTTGTCTGCAGGCTCCCGGGAGAAGACGCCTGCCTGACGCACCCCTCAAACTCCATGCAACCCGCCCGCGCAGCCCGCGGGCATGGCTACTTCCTGCAGCCTCTCTGGCGCGGACACGCCCCCCTCTCCCCCGCGATCAAACCCCTTCGTCTGGCGTGATCGCCGCCATCCCGGGACCGAGAGACGGGGGCGCCCATCACCCCAGAGGCGTAAAGGCATGATGGGGGGGAGGTCTCAAAATAGACATAAAGGGGCTGCAGCACGGACAAGGCTGAGGCCCCTTCCACGTGTCCGTGTGCATGAGCTCAGCTTGCAGGAGGGGATAAGTCGGCCGGGTTGTAATGCATCTAGAAACGCGGCGGCTCATTTGGGGGGAGAAACGGCCGGATTAACTAGAAGAAAGAGCTGGTGTGGGGGGGGCACCAATGTATCCATGGATCTGTCTGTAATGCTGGGACCCCCTGGATCCTGACACACCCCCTTGCAGCTCCTGGGCCCCCCCAATGCATCCCGAGCTTGCACTGGTTTCCTCCTCTGCTGCCTTTCAACCAGGCGTCTCGGCTACATCCTCTTCCAGCCGTGCAGGGTCTGGGGAGAGCTTTCCAAACAACACAACACCCTCCCGCCTGGGCCGGAGGCTCTTAACGGTGCTCAGCACCCAGCACCCCCCGTGGTTCTTGCAGCACGGGGGGGTGCAGTGATTTTAACAGCCCAGCCCTTGTTCCCCAACCATGCAGACAAAAGCAGCCCCCAAAAGACACCACTCAAGGCCTCGTAGTAGTAAACACTGGCCAGATCCACAGCTGGGGTAAATGACAGGGACAGCGGTGGAATAAAGCACGTGTCCACCCGAGGAGGAGAATCCAGCCCAGCCCGTTGTCTTGGCTGAGCAGCACTGATGCATCTCAGCTGGGGGGGATCTGGTCCATGGATACATCTGGTGGGGTGGAGAAACAACCCCGGGGGTCCCTGGCCCTCTCCATTCCCACCAGCCGCCCTGTGTGTCCAGAGCACACCCCTTGCCTTTGAAGCTGGGGTCAGGGCTTTCCCCAGGGAGAAGGGAACTGCACAGGCCTCTCCCTAGCTCTGGAAAAAGGTTCCCTCGGGCTCAGCCCCGTTTCTTAACTCCATTAAACAAAGGGGGCCTGATCCGGCACCGGCCGGCCCTGCAAAGTTGGTGCAACACGCGCCTCTGCTCGCATGCTTGCTTCACACAGGTGCAAAGCCCTGTGAGTGGTGCAGGGCATCTCTTTCCCCCAGCCCAGATGTGGGGCTTGCTGGGCCGGACCCCAACTGGGGCCCGGGGTTCGCAGCGAGGGGTTCCCCACCCGAGGCAGCTGGCGAGAGGCCTGCGCTGAAGCCAAGCCATCTCCAGCCCTATTGTTCCGATAACCCGTTCCAGCTTAACGATGCACGACAATTAGCCATTTCTACCCCACTGCAGACTTGCTCCTTCCCTTCTTCTCCTCCGGGAGCATCCACCTGAAGCCAGAACCCCCCCCCGACCCACTCCTTTCTTTCCCCCACCCCCAGATGAACGCTGCAAAACTCCCTACCTCGGCCATTTCAATGCGCTACCCCTGAGGAGGCATCCAGAGCCGCAGACTGCCCTAGCCATGCTTCCAAGTTACTCCCCCCCCTTTTACCAAGGCAAAACTTCTCTTGCCAGCCTTATTGTTTTTTAACCCTGCACTGACTTGGCTTTGGGGCCTGAACCCCATTCTTTTCCCCACACTTAGAAGACTGCAGGGGGGGCTGGGCGGGCGGGTGACTTCAGTGTGGGTGTGGTGCGTATCTATACAGCTATATAGAGATGTATAGATAGATATATCTATATAGACATCTCTCACTGCCCCCCTATTTTAAATCCCACCCCCATTCTACCTCGCACCAAATGCAGCCTGTACCGGAGAACAAAAGCATCACTGTCACCGAGATTGTGGTCAGCGATGATGTTGGTGGGCAGGGGGGCGTGGGGAGAGGAGAAAAGCAATGGAAGTCAAGAGCAGGGCAAGAGCAAAGATGGTTCAATTT